AAGTTGAAAGAGACCTTGGAGGTCTTCTAGTCAACCCTCTGCTCAAGCAGGAAACTCTATACTATTTCAAATAAATGGTTATCCAGTTTCTTCTTTAAAACCTCTAATGATGGAGCATCCATACCTTCTGAAGGCAAGTCATTCCATTGGTTAATTGTTCTCACTGTCAGGAAATTTCTCCTTAGCTCTAGGTTGGTTCTCTTCTTGATTAGTTTCCATCCACTGATTTATTGCTCTTCAGGTGCTTTGGAGAATAGCTTGACTCCCTCTTTTTTGTGGCACTCCTTTAGATATTGGAAGACTGCTACCTGTCATCCCCAGTCCTTCTTTTCATTAAATTAGACACTTCTCTTTAGGTCTCTGAAGTTTGGAAATTTAGCCAATTGTTATCAAGAGAATGCAATGTACTAGCCTATTACAAACAAAGGTTTCCTTATCTTAAGAGTGAAAGCAGATGCCTTCTTATTTATAACTAAACAAATGTCTCTTTATCTAAAGCGAAAACTGCTATGTTTTCCAATGCATAAGATATATGCCTTCCTTTGCATGGGTATGCTATAGGATGTCTCTGTTTGTTTTCTTTCTATAAAATGGATAGTGCCTATTCAATTTTTAAACCTATAAGGAAAGCATTCAAACAGTAGCACTGCTATTCATGGTGAGCAAGAATAAAAGCCAAAAGGATGTTCCATTGTCAAATGTATCTAGAGGAAAAAAAGAACTTTTGAGGTATGTATACTGTATACTAGGGCAAACTTGATTTTTTTTAAAAAATATATACTTTTTATTGAAAAAATGTTAAACAATACGAATATTAGAAAAGAAGCAAAGAAAATAAAAGAGAAAAGTGAATCAGTAAGAAAGAAAATAGAAAAATAAAGGACAAAAAAGATTATAAAGAAATGGCGTCTGATCTTTTTGGTAGCAGTTATAAATAGATTTTGTTTTTATCCGCTCCACGGTTAGTTCATAATTTCCTTTTTTCTGTAAACTAAATTTTATAATCTTCACGCCCATAATTCACAAGCACTTTCTCACTCTTTTTTTTTTTTCAGAGAAAAATCCATAAGGGGTTTCCAGTCACTGATAGATGTAGTTGTTTATCTTTCTCTAATCAAACCAGTTAATTTTGCCAACTCTGCTCATTCTGTCATCTTCATGAGCCATTCCTCCATTGTGGGTATTAGTGAGTATTTCCGTTTTTGTGCATATAAGAGTCTAACAGCTATACTCACATATAAAAATCTTTTCTAATTATTCTTTTCTAATTGACTATCCATTGCAGGTAGCTCTTCACTTACAATCTTTTGTTTAGTGACTGTTCAAAGTTACAAGAGCACTGAAAAACAAGTGTCTTATGATGGTTTTTCACACTTGATAGCAGTCTTCCAATATCTCAGGGGCTGCCACAAAAAAGAGGGAGTCAAGCTATTCTCCAAAGCACTTGAAAGCAGGACAAGAAGCAATGGATGGAAATTCATCAAAGAGAGAAGCAACCTAGAACTAAGGAGAAATTTCCTGATAGTTAGAACAAGTAACCAGTGGAATTAACCATCTGCCTCCAGAAGCTGTGAATGCTCCAATATTGGAAGTTTTTAAGAAGAGACTGGACAGCCATGTCTGAAATGGTATAGGGTTTCCTGCCTGAGCAGGGGGTTGGACAAAATGACTCCAAGGTACCTTCCAACACCATCACCACCACCACCATCATCATCATTATTACAATGTATCAGCACATTCTACATTTTTGTTTGTTTGTTCCTTATCATGCTATACATTTCCCTCCAGAGTTCATCAGATGTTCTGTTTACCAAATATAATCCATTCTTTCCTTTTCCTTCAGCATATAATTATATAGAAATTGCTGTGATTGTATCTTGTTGGCTTGAAGATTTGGCTTATTTTCTTCAGTGTAGGTTGTAGTTTTGCAAAAGACGTTTGTAAGACACAATCAGCAACTGCTTTACTTTTTATAACTGGCCAAAGAGAAAAGCAACCTGGAATTAAGGAGAAACTTCCTAACAGTGAGGACAATTAACCAGTGGAACTGCTTGCCCCCAGAAATCGTAGGCGCTCCATTACTGGAGATTTTTAAGAACAGACTAGACAGTCACTTGTCTGAGATGGCATAAGTCCACCTGCTTCAGTGGGGGGCTGGACTAGAAGACCTCCAAGGTCCCTTCCTGCTTCTATTCTATTCTGTTCTGTTCTATTTTATCTGACCTACAAATGATCAAGGCAAATTGGTGCCAGATAAGAGTCAACGGACTTCAAAGGACCTGGACTTAGGTCTATTATGGAGCAGTAGATACTCCAAAGTGTTGATGTGTTTGACCCCGCCCTTGTGTTCAGCCTGGTCATCGCCTACACTCATCTTTGAACTATACTGTACACAACTATTATTTATGGAGTATCCTAAACAATAAGTTTGGATTGTGTGTCCTTGATTTTTGCATCAAGCACACTTTCTCCATTATGTGTATCTTCCCAAATTGCTATGAAATGCATGTCTTCCTGGGATCAAGTCCCATTAAACACACTCAGTAAATTTATTTCTGAATAAATTTATTTAACAATCTTTGCTAACCTGGAATACATTATGTGTTTTTCATTTCGTATTAGATTTCTGGTTCCATAATGTTCATCTTTTAAGTTCCATACAACCAAGCTAAAATGCTAGTTGGGGGATAATGGGAATTGAAATCTAACAGGTGCATGTAGAATGAATTGATAGAATAATGTTGTATACCAATAGAAGAGAATATATATAACTCAGGGTTGAACTGTAGGAGTCTTAATGCTTTCTGAGATTGATTGTTTTCTTGCAGACATTTCATTACCCAACTAGTAGCATCATCAGTGCACTGAAGATATTACCTAGTTGGGTAATGAAACATCTTCAAGAAAACAACCATGCTCAGAAAGCACCAAGAACCACACAAAATGTTTTATAATTTCCACCGTTCATAATATTACTCAAGCTAAGACATTTTTTTCAAGAATGATTATTTTTACTGATGTATTTCCTGTTGCGTATCATTTCCAATACTTTAATTAAGACATGTATATATTCATTAGCAAACAAGGAGACAGCATCCATTCATACCAAACTAAAACATTCCACTACTAGAATATAAAAAAGATACAATAACTGAACTGACAGCAACAGCCTCAGTTTCATGGCAAATTTTATTTGATCAAAAGATAGTTCTTTGGTAACCTATAAGTCAGGGGTGTCAAACTCAATTTCATTGAGACCCCCATCAGCATTGCGGTTGCCCTCGGGGTGTGTGTGTGGCCAGGGTGGGTGTGGCCTACTGAGTAGGCGTGGCCAGCTCTATATCGTTCGCATCAAGGTTGCCTGTAGGGGCCTGGACAGGAGTGGGACAGATCTGAGAGTCTCTGGCAGAAGGGGGTGGGACCGGGGCAAGCACCAAGGCATGGTCCATTTCTTCATTCCTCACAAAGGGTGACATCTCCCCAGCATGCACCCAGGGGGCAGGCCTAATGCGGCAGGGGCTGGTTCCTCGCTATTTCTAGATGGCCTTGTGGAGCTAAGACTGCATTTCAGCATAGATGGTCACCACAAAATTGTACATTGGCTCCCAGCCGGCCTGGGCCAGGGCCAAGGCAGCGGGGGCCGTTCCCTCACTGTTTCCAGGTTGGTTTCACGGGCCACATGAAACCACTTCGCAGGCCGCATCCGGCCCCCGGGCCTTGTGTTTGACATGTCTGCTATAAGTGAATACATATTGGGACATACATCTGTTAGAGCACAGGTCTTCAAAGCTGGCAACTTTAAGACTTGTGGACTTCATCTCCCAGAATTCCTCAGCTAGCATAAGGAATTCTGGGAATGCTTCCCTTGAAATTCTGAGGAATTCTGGGAGTTGAAGTCCACAAGTCTTAAAGTTACCAGCTTTGAAGACCCCTGTATTATAGCCACGTTTACTGATCCTATGAAGGACATTTGCAGATGCTTGTTTGTGCAGGATCCAATCTGGATCAGTTACTGGGACCAGAGGTTTAGTCTTCCAAGCTTTCAGACTTGAGCTGGAGCCCATCCTCAAAGAACTTCTCTCTACCAAGCAGGCACAGCCACACTTCTTTGTGCATTAATGATTCACCTGTGGAGATGGTTACCACCATCAAATTCCTGGGTGTGCAGCTAACGAGTAGGCTGGCTTGGTTGCTCAACAGCGAGAAACTGGTGAAGCGGGCACAGCAGCACCTGCATTTTCTGCACCGAATGAAAAAAGCACATTTTCCTTCCCCTGTCCTGACCACTTTCTACAGGGGGACGATCGAGAGCATCCTGTCATACAGCATCACAGTCTGGTTTGGAGGCATCACTACTTCAGACAGGAAGGCAGTGCAGAGAATGGTGAGGATGGCCGAAAAGATCATTGGCAGTTCCCTCCCTCCCATCCAGGACATAACACAGAAGCGTTACCTGAGCAGGGTGCATAAGATTGTCTGGGACACTACACATCCTTTTCATGACCTGTTTTCCTTGTTACCTTCTGGGAGGAGGCTTCGTGGTATCCGCAGCAGAACATCCAGATTCAGCCATAGTTTCATTCCATACAGCATTAACCTTGTGAACTCTCAAGCTTCCTCCTTCCGTTATATATTCAAGATGGAAAGTATTTAATATTAATTTGCTATGTATATGTAGGGATGTGGGTCTATACATATGTTGTACATAGTATGTTTAGGTGTGTGCCATGTATGTGTTTCACTTTGAGAGCGGGCAACTAAATTTCATTTTTGATGTGTGCCGTTGTGCCCACAATAAAAAAAAATGACAATAAAGGTTATCTTATCTATCTTACCAGAAGACTAAACCTTTTGTCCCTGTGACCAATTCAGATTGGATCTTGCAACATTATCCTGGGATACATAAATTTGCCTCCCTTCTTGCTTGTTTATCTATGCAGATCTCCCGATCTGAGTTGGAACTTCATGGTTTTGAATCGGTCTTCCGTATCCTCTTTTAGGTCATCTGCACCCAATCTGAAGGGTACAATAGCCGCCAAGCACTTTGTAATGGAATGAATGAAGGACCAATCCTTCGAAATCCTGGCAATCAAGATAAAAGAAGAACGCCTCGACTTCCAACTTCAGCTGATGTCGAATTCTGCTTATCTCTGAGGCAATATGAAACTGGGACTATGGATATAATGGCTAACTTCAGTTTCCGGAATACCTTGGAAGGTAAGGCTGACTCCTCTTTTCATGATTTCTAATGCAGTATTGTGTATCAGTTTTAGAGATTGTCCTCTTTTATGTTTTGTTATACATTTTATATGCTGGATTTTTATGCATTAATACTGTATTCTGTTATGCCATACGAAATATGTAGATGGTCCTCGACCTATGGGTTCCCAATTGAGCCCAGACTTCCTGTTGCTAAACAAGACAGTTGTTAAATGAGTTTTGTCTCTACTTGTTTTGGTGAGGGAGAAGTTCCCTGAGGATGGATTCCAGCATGAGTCCAAAAGCTCGGAAAACAAAATTGGTCCCGGTGACCGACCCACATTGGATCCTGCAACATTATCCTGGGACACATTATCCTGGGACACATTTGCCTCCATTCATCAAAGTTTAGTATTTATATTTTATTTTATATTTCTGAAACAGGGTTCTCCCATCCCACCAATATAATCCAACCCTGTGCTCAAGCAGGAAACCCTATCAATTCAGACATGTGGTTGTCCAATCTCTTCTTAAAAACTTCCAGTGTTAGAGCACCCATAACTTCTGGAGGCAAGTCATTCCACTGATTAATTGTTCTCACGGTCAGGAAATTTCTCCTTAGTTTTAGGCTAGATCTCTCCTTTATTAGTTTCCATCCATTGCTTCTCGTCTTGCCTTCAAGTGCTTTGGAAAATAGCTTGATTCCCTCTTCTTTGTGGCAGCCCCTTAGATAATGGAACACTGCTATCATGTCACCCCTCGTCCTTCTCTTCATTAATCTAGGCACCAGTTCTAGGGTCATTAAGAAAAAGAGAATCTTCTCTGCAAATTCTATTAAAGGACAAAATTTTAGAGACCTTATCCTGGCTAGGATGTAATGTCTTTAGATTTATGCAGGAGGGATGTGTGAATTACCTTTTAAATGATTCAAAATCTATTTGATTCAGATTCAGATGGTCAAATGTATTAATGTGGACCAGTGATTTTTCTCTGTGTGTGCATGCCTTCAACTCAGTCATGACTCACGATGGCTGTGTGGTCTAGTCTTTTCTTTTTTTCTTGCCAAGATTTCAGAAGTGGTTTGCCATTGCTTCCTTCCTAGAGCTGAGAAGAAGTGATTGGCCCAGGATCACCAAGCTGTCTTTGTGCAACTGTAATTGACTCTTGACTCAGTGATTAAATTAGGAAAATTGGGTTGATTTAATTGGGTTGATTTAATTCAGAAAGACCCTGTGCAATTGGATCTAAATCCCTAATTCACTGCAAAAGGCCAATTCAGCAAAACACTAATTAATTATAAGATGGGCATCAGTCACTGATGTAATAAGGGTGAAAAAAAAAGAAAACTTCAATTTCAAGCTGGATCAACAGAAGCGTAATTCTAAATAATGGGAAGGGATTGATCCACATCCATTTTATTCTGCTTTCACATCAAATCTTCTGTTTGATTTAAGAAGGATTCAGAGAAATTGGAACCAATATATAAAAATAAAAAGGAATGATCAGGGGGTTAGACATTAATCTCTCTGAAAAAAGAGACTGAAAGATTTGATATGTATTCACATGAATGATTGACATATCAAAGAAAGCTAAGACTTGTTATCATGGCAGAGGGCAGGATAAGGGCTTGTGTGATCCAGTAGAGACTGAAGTATATATTTAAAAAGCTTTAATTTGGCAGGAGGTCATAGTTGAACTCAATGGCCTCCTTACTATATTCAAGTATCAAGGATCACACTTTAAGGAAGACTAAGACAAATTGAAGTGGGTTTGGGGAAAGGCAATGCTTCAATCTTAATTCCTGCATGGAACAACAAGTTGGATTCAACAATTTCAATGATCCTGTGATTATATTCCTATTTTTTCCCCCTAGTGTAGTCTTTTCTCTAACACAGCGGTTCTCAACCTGTGGGTCGGGACCCCATTTGGGGTCAAACGACCATTTCACGGGGGTCACCAAACAACGCAGTCCGCCATTTTTTTCCCCTTTTCCTTAGCTACTCCCTTTTATTCTATTGGCTTTTGAAATAGAGTCTAATTCTATTGGCTTTCAAAAGCCAATAGGAATTGTCCAGGCTGTCTCTGCCCTGCTGAGCCCGCCAAAAGTCCCATTCTGCAAATGGTGCTGCAAGTTGTCTGCAGCGAAGGAGAGCTGTCTGGAAGCTTCCACCCCTCCCTGCTGAGCAACTACTAAAAATGTAAGTAAAAGAGGGCCAGAGGTGGGAGGCCGGTGGGCGCAGGGAGGGTTGCTGGCGCGCGTGGGGCCCAGTGGGTGCCTTATCTCCCTTGGGCTGGGCCAGCTGGTGGCCCAGCCAGTGGTCGGCCTGCGCCGTCTCTACCACTTGCCAGCTACGCCTCAGCTGGCGCAGGGGGCGGCACCACACATGCGTGGCGCTCCCGGGCAGGGAAAGTCCTCGACTTACGACCAGTTGGGTAGTCCTTGACTTACGATCAGTTGGGGGTCGCGGCATTAAAAAGGTTGAGAACCACTGCTCTAAGACACATAGTTTTAGGTAGACAGTTTCCCTTTCCCCCTTTCCAGCTCTGTTTTATGCTCTCAAATCTGTGATCAAATAATTTCAGATTCAATCTCCAGACTGTCTATTATGGAGATTCTCAATCGTCCAGGTCATGCTTGTCCCAAAGGTGTTTTTCCCCCCAAAAGGCAACTGAAAGGAACCAAGAAACTCCAGTTTAGGAAGTCCCCCCCCCCCCGAGAAGGAAATATTTTGGGGATACTCAAAAAGGAAGAATATTATATTTTCCCAAAGGAATCATGGAGAAAAAAAAAATTAAAAAAGCTTTTCTGCCCAAGTTTCTCCAAGCAGAAACTGAGCAGGCCAGCTCTGTAGAAATGCAGATTTGATAATCCTATTCGGAAAGACTGGGGTACCTATCCATAAGCAAAATGCCTTCAGCCATAGGCCCAGAGAAGGTTTGAGCTGATGGGATTAGAAAAACAAAGACGTCCAAGGACAGAACGTGACCTTTAGGACATAATAGGATTAACCCACCACCATTGGAATACCAAAATCTCAAGTCAAAGTACATGCCACAGGAACAGGAAGAACCTCAAATACAAAGCCCAAAGAAGGTATAAAAGCCCACCTATCCCAGTTCCATTTGGTCAGCCACTCCAGAAACATGCTGTGTCACTGAAGTTTCTGGCAACTCAATAAACTGAACCTTCTATTCAAACAGCCTCCATCTTGTTTATTCCCGGCTTGGACTGGACCTGAAGATTATTCTTTCAACACTGGAAAAAAAAGTCTTGGAAAAAGCACCTTTGGAGATTCCAGACTGAAGCTTCACACAACTGTATTAGTTAGGTGGCCAAGAAGCACTTGTGAATGTCCTACCTTTCACTAGGCCAGTGTTTCCCAAACTTGACAATTTTAAGGCATGTGGACTTCAACTCCCAGAATTCCACAGCCAGCATTGCTGGCTGTGGAATTCTGGGAGTTGAAGTCCTCATGCCTTAAAATTATCAAGTTTGGGAAACACTGCACTAGGCAATCCTCACTGGGGCAACCCAATCTTAGCCCTAATTCTTCCTCAGATATGTAGACTCTCTGTTTTTCTACACTTCCATTAAATTCCAAAGGAGGCATCAAGAGTATATTCCCATTCTCAATTGCAATGCTATTTTCCTCATCAGTGGGCGTCCTGTCCTTGAGGTCTCAGGTTGCCTGAAAAACTCAGAGGACTAAATCCATCTAAATTGGTGAATTTCCAGAGGCTATTCATACTCAGCTATAGGTGAGGGAGCCCTTCAAGCCCTTGTCCAGTTGCAATGATTCAGTCTTCACACAACGTCAGACAACCATCAGACATCTCTGTCTGGATGTTTGAGAAACTTCATCGACATTTTGCAACAGATTTTGGGGAAGAATCCCCCCGAGGTTGGTGTGACAGGAGTTGGTACATTCCAAGGCCTAACCGCCTTGCACTGAATCAGGAAGCAGCCTTGGTGGGTAGTGAAATGTCTCTGAAACTAAAAAATTGTCCAGTTGCAATAATAGAGCCTTCAGACAACCTACAGACATGTTCTTCAAGAATTTCCGCCACAGTATGTTAGGCCAGGGGTAGGCAACCTTGGCTCTTTTATAACTCGTGGACTTCAACTCCCAGAATTCCTGAGCCAGGATGGGGGAAAACTTTGGCCCCTTCATGACTAGTGGACTTCAACTCCCAGAATCCCTGAGCCAGCATGGCTCAGCTTGTAAACCTCTCCCTTTCCCCTCAGCAAGGCTGGCTCAGGAATTCTGGGAGTTGAAGTCCACGAGTCATAAAAGAGCCAAGGTGGCCTACCTCTGGCCTAGGCCTAGGCCGCTTTATGACTCGTGGACTTCAACTCCCAGAATTCCTGAGCCAGCCATGGCTCAGCTTGGAAACCTCTCCCTTTCCCCTCAGCATGGCTGGCTCAGGAATTCTGGGAGTTGAAGTCCATGAGTCATAAAAGAGCCAAGGTTGCCTACCCCTGTGTTAGGCCCTTTCCTTCCATTCAGTTTCTCACTGGTCAGTTTTCCTACTTATTTTCAACATGTACTCCATTGTAACTTACCACTTTTTCAAGACTCATCAAAACCTAAAACTTTCCAGGTTAATGAGGGCACCTGAAGACATGGTTCCAGAGTTCAATATGTCAGAGTTGACTATAACAAAAACAAGCTTCTGCGTTTGGCTATTTCTGCACTTAAAATCATAAGGGTTATGCCATCAATATGTGCAGGAGATTATGGAAAACAGATTTAACCTGATGCCTCAGAGACAGAGATTTAAACTGTGGCAAACCAATAATTGTATTTAAAACTCTGTTTCAGCAGAGAAAGAGGTGCATTGCTGTGCACGTTTTTCATTACCTTGAAGCTTTTTGAGATAGAAACCCAAGTTTAATCACAGTTTAAACACAAAGGTATGTCATGTCAAGGTGTTCTTTTGAAAAATGAAGGATTCTTTTGTTCTTGATCCTCAGCAAGCAAGGATTCATTAAATACTAGGAGTATGCTCTTGAAAAA